TGAGATGGAGTCTTGCTCTGTCACCCAGGCTGGAATGCAGTGGCATGATCTAGGCTCACAGCAACCTCCGCCTCCTGGTTCAAGCAATTCTGCCTCAACCTCCCAAGTAGCTGGGATTACAGGCGCCCCCCACTGTGACTGGCTAATTTTTGTATTTTTAGTAGAGACGGGGTTTCATCATGTTGGCCAGGCTGGTCTTGAACTCCTGACCTCGTGATCCGCCCTCCTCAGCCTCCCAAAGTGCTGGGATTACAGGCATGAGCCACCTCGCCTGGCCTACTGTGGAGGTATTAATAGTATTAGGTGGTGGAGGAGAGGTGGGTATTTGAATCCAGGTGCTGTCATTTGCTAGCTTCTTAACCATGGATGAGTTAATTTCTCTAATTTCAGTAATTGTAATTAGAGAATTAATTACAAAATTAATTACCATTTTGTAAATGCAGTTCCCTCATTTACAAAATTAGGGAAACAGTACCTCCTAATTAGGGTATTTGTAAAGATTGAGAAATAAATCACACTACGCAAGTAGTACGGAGCCCAGGACTTAGTTAATTATTTATAAGAGATCTTTATTATTACTGTGGAATTCCTAAGTATCCTCTACAGGTAGGGCTGTCAGATTTAGCAAATAAAAATACAAGATAGGCCGGGCGCAGTGGCTCATGCGTATAATCCCAGGACTTTGGGAGGCTGAGACAGGTGGATCACCTGAGGTCAGGAGTTTGAGACCAGCCCGGACAACATGGTGAAACCCTGTCTCTACTAATAATACAAAAATTAGCCAGGTGTGGTGGCACACACTTGTAATCCCAGCTACTCTGGAGGCTGAGGCAGGAGAATCGCTTGAATCCAGGAGGCAGAGGTTGCAGTGAGCTGAGATCGCACCATTGCACTCCAGCCTGGGAGACAAGATTGAAACTCCGTCTCCAAAAAAACAAAACCAAAAACAAGATTTCTAGTTAAATTTGAATTTCAAACAGACAAGAATAATTGTGGCGGAGTAGCTATGTCCCAGATATTGCATGGAATGTATACCAAAAAAATATCCATCATCTATCTGGACTTAAATTTAGGTGGGCACTCTGTATTTTATCTAGCAAAGTAACTTCTCCTTCAAAGGAGAAACTTAGAGTAAAATAAACTGACAGAGAATGTAACTGTAATTAAATTTTATATTTCATCTGCTCATACTTGGTAGGCCAGTGGTTCTCAGTACACACAGGATTTTCTCTTCCAGGTAATGCTCAACTTACCATATATCAGAGAAATAAATAGTTTCCATGTTTTGGAGTAGAATGTAAAAATGTCACCAAACTGAAATCTGTTGGATCTAGTTACTATACTGAACTAGTCATGCGTTTCAAAACTGCTCACTGAATTATATATTTCTATTTAAATCCTTATTTGGAAAACCACAAAGCACTAAATATGAAAGTCATATTAATGACCATTAAACATATACAAACTACAGGCTGGGCATGGTGGCTCATGCCTGTAATCCCAGCACTTTGGAAGGCTGAGGCGGGCGGATCACCTGAGGTCAGGAGTTCAAAACCAGCCTGGCCAACATGGTGAAACTCCATCTCTACTAAAAAATACAAAAATTAGCTGGACGTGGTGGCTTGCGTCTGTAATCCCAACTACTTGGGAGGGGGAAGCAGGAGAATTGCTTGAACCCGGGAGGCGGAGGTTGCAGTGAGCCAAGATCCGAGCCACTGCACTCCAACCTGGGCGACAAGAGCAAGACTCCGTCTCAAAAAATAAATAAATAAACACATACAAACTACAAATCCTTGACAGCAGCCAATCTGTTTGAAACACTATTTCATAATATTCTTCTTTACCACGTTTTCTTTGTGTGCCAGGTAATTAGTTATCAAAGCACGCTTATTATTAGCACACACACATACATGCACACACATAATGTAAATGAAGTGGACAGGTTTTGTTTCATTCTAAATATCTTCCATTTTTCCTGAATGTAAAAGCCTGTTATGAACTCTACCAGTATTTTAGGTCTCCTCTAACCTGTAGTTATATTTGTAATGAGTTGAAAATAGTTAACTACTGCCATTTTTTTTTTTTTTTTTTTTTTTTTGAGGCGGAGTTTCGCTTTATCGCCCACGCTGGAGTACAGTGGCGGAATCTCGGCTCACTGGCTCACTGCAAGCTCCGCCTCCCGGGTTCACGCCATTCTCCTGCCTCAGCCTCCGGAGCAGCCCGGACTACAGGCGCCGGCCACCACGCCCGGCTAATTTTTTTTGTATTTTTAGTAGAGACGGGGTTTCGCCGTGTTAGCCAGGATGGTCTCGATCTCCTGACCTTGTGATCCGCCTGCTTCGGCCTCCCAAAGTGCTGGGATTATAGGCGTGAGCCACCGCGCCCGGCAACTACTTCCATTCTTTAGTTCTTTCAATCTTGCCTATGATTTAAAGAAGTGCATTCCAGTCTGCTTGCATGGTGCTTTGCTATTTCTAATACTGATTTCATGCCAAATTCTCCAAAATGCTTCTACAAATCTTTTGGTGTCATTAGCTCAAAAGGTAAATGGATTTTGGTTATTTTCAATGTCATAATTATAAATTTAGCTTCTTAAGCGTGAAAAAAAGCACTTCATAGTAATGTATTTTACCACTTTTCCATTTGTGGGAGATATAATTCATTATTTCTTGCTTTGGTAAGAAAAGTGAGGAAAAAGAAAAATTTATCCATTTGCAGGCTGTTTAAACTTCCAGAGAGATTATAATTCATCATTCCAAACAATTAAGCTGGCTGTTACATTTCTCCATAATTTTTATTTGCTAATAAAACGGAGGCAGCGCTTTTTTCCTAAAGATAAAATAAAATAAAAATAAATAAAAACAACAACAGACTCCCCCCCGCCCCCGCCCCACCCCGTACCTTCTATGCAAATTCCTATTAAGTCATTTATCCTGTCAGTGAGTCTGAGGGCCCCGTACTCGTCAGCTCCATCTCGCGGAGGAAAACGCTATCGGCACCCTCAGCTCCGCCCAAGGGCCGCGATCTCTACAGGGGAGATGAAAAGCCGGCGACGCTACACAGGCGTGGACCCTCGACGAGTGTCCATTTCCTGTGGGTTAAGAGTAGGAGCGTCTGGGCAAAAGCTGGGAGCTTTCAGTTGCCAGGGCCCTTGGGAAAGCACGTATTTAGATTTCATTGATAAATTCAACTGAATCCGGAGAAAAATTATACTCCATTCACTGGCATATTTAGAACGGAATTCCCATTGACCCGAGGCTCCCGGTTGAATCCTTTAAAGGAGCCAAGCGAGGACGTTCTCGGAACAGCAGTGCACCGTGTACACGGTGGGAGCCCCGCGCGATCGCCCGCAGAGCGTCCTGTAGGAACGTCACAGAGCCCAGAGAGCGTCCTGTAGGAACGTCACAGAGCCCAGAGAACGCCTGGGGACGGTCGGGGAGGCAGTTCGGGGAGGGGACGGTTAAGCTCCCTCGAAGAGGACGCCGCGGGCCGACTGGAGTCTTTTTCGTGCTCTCCGCGCCCGCCCGCCGCGGGTAGCATCTTCTCAGCGCCCCGGCGCCCAGGAACGCCCAGGAAACCCAGTCCTCCTCCTAAGCAACCTGCGGCGCGGGGACGCCCGCCTTTTGCTATTGTTATAAAAGTGCGTGCGACTAAACCTTCAGATTTTTAGACGTACTTCTCGCTTCCTCTGACCCAGGCTGAGGGAGCCCCCGAGGCTACTGCGGGGCGGGGCCGGGGCCGGGGCGGGGTGGGGCGTCCTAGCCGCCTCAGGCTGCGCCCCGGCCGCGGGCGGGAGGCGGCAGCAGCGCGGGCCGAGCGGCGCGAGGATTGGCTGCGACAGGCGGAGACGTCAGGCTCCCGCGGCCCAAGCGGCCGCCCGGCGCGGCGCGGCGCAGTCGGCTCGAGTACTCCCAGTAACGAGGAGGTGTTCTCGGCCGTCCCACCCTCCCCTGCTGTCTCCGGGTTGCGCCGCCGGAGCCGGGACGCGCCTCCGCTGCCCTCGCCGCCTCCATCCCCGGGGCCGCAGCTCCCCTCGCCGTCCGCGCGCGCACCATGACGAAGAACGAGAAGAAGTCCCTCAACCAGAGCCTGGCGGAGTGGAAGCTCTTCATCTACAACCCGACTACCGGAGAGTTCCTGGGGCGCACCGCCAAGAGCTGGGGTGAGCGGGCGGCAGCTGGGCGTCCGGGGCCGGCCTCGGTCCCGGGGGCGCCAGGCGCGGTCGGGTGGGAACGGAAAGGCGGGAGGCGGCTCCCCACGCCGGGGCCCCAGACCGCCAGACCCTAACCTGGGCGGCGGCGGCGCGGTGCGGCCCCATTCATTGCTCTCCGGGCCGGCCGGACTGGCCGTCGCTCGCTCCCGAAGCAGCGGGGCCCTCGGGCAGCCCGGCCTGTCCGCGCCGGTTCCTCCCTCCCTGCCGGGAGCAGGGCGCACGTGCTGTCCGGGCCTCCCGCCCGCCGCGGCGCCGGAAGCCGGGGACCCCTGCCCAGAGCCGGGCCCCGAGCGTGCGGGAGCCGAGCCCCCGGGCCTCCTTTGTACGGAGCGCTCCGACCCGAGAGGCCCTGGCGGAGGCGCCTGGCCCGCTGAGCGGTTCGGTGAAGCCAGACCCTGCCCCACTCCAGGGGAGAGGAAATTTCCACTCCCGCCGCTATCTTGTGACTCGTCCACGCTGCCACCCCGACCGGTCGGAAGAGTGCGACAGAGTGTTAAGTGTGGGTGTGGGTTCCTTAAACGTGTAGCGGTGAGTTAATCACAGAAGTACATTGTACGAGAAAATGCACTTGAATTTGGACAGTGAAAAGGCCCATAAAAAGGTTGTTTCCTCCCGGATTCCTTTTTAATTACAGAGATTTTCTTCCTTACAAATTTGCTCCTTTGGAGAATGTAAATCCTGTCTGAACAACACAGGTTTTTGTTTTTGTTTTTGTTTTTGTTTTTCCTGTGTCTTCAAAACAGGAGAGTGATGGTTGTATGTCAGCAGCTTTTTTCTATGCGTGAGCTCTTTGTTTTAAAGTATTTAAACCATCTACCGTGTAGAGTTGCTTTAGGGTGCCTTTTTTTTCTAAAATTGTATCAATATCTGAATGCAGGCTAGAGCTTTTTTTTTTTTTTTTTTTGGCCTTTATACTTAAGTAAACTAATTTTACCTTTTTAAAATCTTTTTGAAACAAATTTTGTTAGTGTGTCTTGAAAGACCATTTCTTTCTGAGTGAGAATAAATCTGGAGAGCTTAGAACTATTTGGGCACAGCATTTTTAGGATAAGCATGGAGAAATAAGCTATGACTCAGAAAATAAACTGTTGCTGTGGACTGAAGTGGACTCCTTCAGGGTGAAAAGGCGACTTGAAGTCTTATCACAAACTGAAAGGGGCCTTGGAGGATTTTTAGCCCAACCCCCACGTTAGAGAGATGAGAAAAATGAGACCCAGAGAGGTTGTGATTTTTGCCTTGTGTAAAATTACATATGCCACAAAGCCAAGAAAAGAACCCAGTTCTCCTTTAATCCTAGTCCAGCGGTTGTATTATTTTACAGATGCCTTGCCTAACTGCATGGTAATCACTCAAGATTTTTATTTAAATTGCTGTCTTCTTTTGGGAACCCACTAGTGTGATGAATAAATCAATCTTGCATCCGGACTTACATGGGAACAAAAGAACAAAGAACATTTAAGCTTCATTGCTTGTTTCTAGAGTGTACTAACTTTGCTGAAGAAACTTTTGAGTGGTGGAGAGGGATTAATTTTGATAGGCTACCTTCCTCCCTTTCTCCCTTCCCCGGTGCTTCCTCATTTCCAGAACAAAGTAACTCCACTTTGTGTTAGAATGACATTTCTTACTGCAGACAGTGCTCTTCAACCTTTGTATTATATGACCTAGGGTAGAGATTTTATTTTATTGGGTCAGTGCATTTAAATAGATAACATGTGCACAGATAAGTATAGGGCAATGTGTAAGGACTGTAAAAGTAGTACAAGTGAAGTTGGGATTCATTTTGGAAGGATTAAGCCAATCTCTTCAAAATTGATAAGTATTACTCTTATCAGTGAATTTTTTGTTTATTGTAATAATAGTAAGTCAATGAAGAATGGCATATATAGGTGAAAATTTACCATAATCCTGTCCCAGTATACGGATATCCCTCTAAGGATATGTGAGGGAGCCGTGAGAGGAGGCCGAAATCCGTATTCAGGTTGCCAGGCTGTGTACCCTAGACCATGGTTGGGTCTGCCTAGAGAAGGGGCACGTTGTTCTAATTCTTGCAAAGACAAGATCAGTTTGGAGAGCTCTGTGCCTCTGGGAATGTATCTGCCAGGAGGGGTTCCTTTTCTGATTCTCTCAAAGGGACTGTAGGGGCTTGCTGCCGGATCTCATCATACCTCAGAGATACTATTAACATTCTGGTATATATCTTACTGAATTGTGTATAATATTTGCTTTTTTTTTTCTTTTAACAAAAGGATCATAAAGTGTTGTTTCATATTCTGAGTATATTGTGGGCATCTTTCCATGTTACTAAAGATTTATTTTTAGAGACAGGTTTCCCTATATTCACCCTTTTCACGTACATTTTTGCAAATTTATTTCCTTGGTATATATTTATACCGATGGGATATCTAGGCCATTCATATGTACTTTTTACATTTTGAAAATTTGTTTTCGTATGCCTTCCAGGAAGTTTCTAACAATTTATACTTCCAACGGTATGTAGCGGTGTCTCACACCTTCATCAGCACTGAGGCTATTTTTACCCGTGTTATCTCTTTTAAAACCTTACATTTTTTGGGCCGGGTGCGGTGGCTCACACCTGTAATCCCAGCACTTTGGGAGGCCGAGGTGGGTGGATCACTTGAGGTCAGGAGTTCGAGACCAGCCTGGCCAACATGGTGATACCCTGTCTCTACTAAAAATGAAAAAAGAAAAAAATAATAATAATAATATTAGCCGGCTGTGATGCCGCCTGCCTGTAACCACAGCTACTTGGGAGGCTGAGGCAGGAGAATTGCATGAACCCAGGAGGTGGAGGTTGCAGTGAGCTGAGATCCGCAGCACTACACTCCAGCGTGGGCGACAAAGCAAGACTCAATCTCAAAAAAAAAAAAATCTTACATTTTTTGGTAACAGCTTTTTTTGTTTGTTTGTTTTTAAGAAAAGCAGCCTTTTGTTATTTTGTAAATTTTTTTTCCAGTTGTCTTTTTGACTTTTTTTTTTGAATCAAATTTTATGTAGGTGGTGGTGGTAAAAGATTATGTGTTTGTTGTAGGGGGTAGAAGGAAAAAAAATTACATCTTTTTTGACCTTGTAAAGTTCCTAGGACTCCTGGTGTGTCTACCCCCAGGATTTTATCATTCATTTAAGATGTTTCCCGGTTTTGTTTTTAGACGTTTAAGTCTTTAGTATGTTTGTCTCATTTTGATCTGAGGTTCCTCTCCAAGTGCATTGGATACGTTAAAAAGCACACATCTTTAAAAGGTAGTTGTGCTATTTACATTTTGGATAAAGTGAAAGTGTTGCATGTTACATTGCATTGCCTTATTTAAAACAGCTACATAAAGATTTTGAGTGGCCGCTTTTTTGTGTATTTGGCTAATATCTTAGAGGTGGTTACAGCAGTTTCAAAATGCTTATACATAAGTTACCTCATGATTTTCACAGTAACCTACAGCCAACTAGTTGGGTGATCCAAGTGTACTTAGCACTGCTTTTCAAACTGAAAAGTAAGTATACATCAGCAATAAATAGTTGCCATTTATGAATACACAGGACAAAGAAAATTGAGCACCTAGTGGCTGATGTTGCAAAATATTAAATAACTTAAGTTCATTGAATACAATTAGAGTCAAATAAATGAAGCTTAGAGATTGTCCAGTGTTATTGAAACTACTAGTAGTGGGCCATGTGTTGCTATTAACATTTTTTTAAATGATGAAATAGAATAGTAAAAATATGTTTATTTTACCTAATAGATTTATTCTAGCTTAAAAAAAAAAAGTTAGTTCATGAAACTTTTGTGTATTTTGCATATATAGATACCTCAATGTAAACTGTATTTGTTACTTTGGCTCATAGTCCAAAAACTCTTGAAAGCCACTAATCTAGCCCAGTGCCTTCGTTTCGTAGGTGGCAAAATTAAACCTGTGGGTCATGTGATTTGCCAAAATTCACTCAGGGAGTTAGGGATGAAATCCTTGGGGCTTCAGACTCCAGGGCCAGAGATTTTTTAAAAAAACAAAACAAGGCTGGATGTGGTGGCTCATGCCTGTAATCCCAGCACTTAGGAAGCCAAGGCAGGCAGATCACCTGAGGTCAGAGTTTGAGACCAGCCTGGCCAACATGGCGAAATCCGTTTCTACTAAAAATACAAAAATTAGCCCGGCATGGTGGTGGGCGCCTGTAATCCCAACTACTCTGAAGGCTGAGGCAGGAGAATTGCTTGAACCCAGGAGGCAGAGGTTGCAGTGAGCCGAGATCGCACCACTGCACTGCAGCCTGAGCGACAAGAGCGAGACTCCGTCTCCAAAAAAAAAAAAAAGAGAGAAACCAACTATGCCATGATGTGTTGTCATTTCATAACATCTACTTGTGAGCTTCTTCGGGGTTCATTATCTTTATTAAGGTGGTCTGTCAGTAAATGCTTTGTATTAACATTAACTTAAAACTCAAGTCACTGATTTCCAAGCCTAGTCAGAATTCTGGACCAAAACTGTTAGCACCTATATTTTGTTTGTGTGCCTTTTCTTTTACTGTAGGTCCCTGAAGTGCCATTTTCTCAGTCACTTCTGGGTCATGGCTCAGTAATTGCTCTGCTTTGGAGATCAGACTTCATCCCATCTGGGGCGTCTGACAGTAGGGGAGAAGGCAGATGTTTGTTTTTCATTGTCACATAATTGTTGTAAGATGGTGTTCTTTGTCCTGTGGAGTGTGCCATTAACCCATTTATGCTGGAGGTTGCAATTTTTTGAATTTTTGCAATCAGACCTTGGCAATGACGTTGAGCAGTAGGATATAACTCCCACATGCTTAACGTTCCAATAATGGAACACAGGCATAAATAGAAGCTTTACAAACTTTACAAAAATGTGCATCACTGGGAAAGTAACAGGACTTACCTTACCCTGTGTGCCAGCTATAAATGCAGGCCAGGGCCGGGCGCGGTGGCTCAC